TGCTGAGCATGGTTTTGGGCCAGGGAGGAGAGAGAGCATACATAACTTGACTGAGTGAGAAGGAATCTGAATGGGTGCTCGTCTAAAAGCAGTACTAAATTTGAGCATTTTATGTTTTTTTTTTTTGTGTGAGAAACTTGCTCCCAAAGGAGTTAGAGATGGAGCCACCCACTGCTCACTATCCTAGTTAGGAATGTTTTTTCATGCAGCATTTGGGATGAAAATTTGAATAATTAATCCGCGTCCACATTTACAGCCTATCAGAACCCATTTGAGTTCCAAAAACCTAAAAAACTTCCCTTTCTCTATTTTGTTTACTTCACCAACTTTTTTCATGCATATTTGTGTTAGTGGGACTTACAAATGGAGATGTAACAATTAATGCATATCTATGAATTTTTTTACATTTTCAGGGGAGACGTAAATTTACATCTTCAATATTCCGTGCATATCTATGAATTTTTTTACATTTTCAGGGGAGACATAAATTTACATCTTCAATATTCCTGCCCATTGAAGCTCTAAATAGTACAACACAAACCATGAAAGAAAATGTGGAATTCATCGAATAGTACAACACAGAGAAAAAGTGAGACAGATGCATAGAGGAGGACGAGAATATGGAAACAAGAGGTTGAGAACGATGTAAGAAAAAAATTGAGAGAGATGGAGTGGATGCGGCTCAAGAGAAGAGATGTGCTGAGGTTTTTAATTAACCGTAACACTTTTATATTCTTCTTTTTTTTAAAAAAAATTTAGCTGGATAAAGCCTACTAAATACATTCATTATGCATTATTAAAACAAGAAGCATTCTTGCCTTGGTGGTTTACGGTGCGTTTGGATGAGGGAAATAAACTTGGGATTTTGACAAAAGTCATAATTTCTAAGAGCATCTCCAGCAACCACTTCAAAATAGTCCTCATTTCTAAAATTCCAAAAGTAGAGATTGAGTTTTAAACAAATATAACTTTACGTGTTTAAATTCACGTAATTGTCGTCATTTTATATTTTATTATTTATGAATTCATTTGTACTTTTAAATTTTGTTTTTTCGTTAGTTTGACCAATTTTCGGGTTGATTTTCCCAGCCCTATAGGTAGTATGTTGGGCTCAAACAAAGGTATATATATATATATATATATATGGGAAAAAGATAAATGTAATATACATTGACACAATGGTTGTGGTGGCCTATACTTCTAAGTAACCCAAGTGAACAAATAAAAATCGAATGGATCAGAAAGTTGACCTTGACTAGCTAAGGTGGGTAAACATAAACATTCTAGCCATGCACTGGTCATCCACGATTGAAGGGAGCCAGTAATAAGCATTACCAACCATTTGTAATGCTTCCCAAATTTGGACAAAAAACACAACGACCCCTAATTTTGTCGTGACTCGTGAACAATGATCTCCCTACCTCACAATCCTCAACAGAAATAACTGTCATTCTGAGCTCCCCTCCCGTATAAATACCTCCATAACCCAACACTTTGAAAGCAGCAAGGGCACCAATAAGTATTTATCCAGTGCCCCAAATAAAGTGACCCCAACAGCTCTGCAGCAACTCACCTGAAAAAGAAATAAGAAGTTCCCGCAACAAAAATCCTTTTGTTTAACCCTTCTTATTTTCTTTTTCGCCACCAGAATCTCTCCTAAAAAAATATCTATAAATTAGTTACTACATATATTATTCAAAATGAGCGGAGGAGAAGCACAGAATAAGAAAAAGAAGATCGCCATCATCGGCGTCTCCGCTTTGATTCTGGTGGCTATGGTAGTTGCTGTAACTGTTGGGATCACTGTGTCACGGCACAAAGGCAAATCCGGCGGCGAGCAAACATCCACGTCGACAAAGGCGATCCAGTCGATCTGCCAGCCCACGGACTACAAAAAGACCTGCGAGGACAACCTGTCCAAGGTGGCTAGCAACGTCACCGACCCAAAAGAGCTGGTCAAGGCAGGGTTCCAGGTCGCCATCGACCAGCTCCGCGAGGTCATCAAGAACTCGACGACCTTGAAGGAGCTTGCCAAGGACCCCAGCACAAACCAGGCCTTGCAGAACTGCAAGGAGCTCTTGGAGTATGCCATCGACGATTTGGGTGACTCGTTCGAAAAGCTGGGTCCTTTTGATTTCACCAAGCTCGACGCCTACGTGGAGGATCTCAAGGTCTGGCTCAGCGCCGCCATGACGTACGAGCAGACTTGCCTGGATGGGTTTGAGAACACCACCGGTGATGCTGGTGAGAAGATGAGGCAGTTCTTGAAGACATCTCAGGAGCTCACCAGCAACGGCCTTGCCATGGTAAGCGAAGTGTCCACGTTGTTCAAGGCTCTGAACATCAAGACCGGGCGCCGCCTCCTCCAAGCCGCTGCCACGGCCACTGATGAGAAGAGGTTCCAGAAGGCTAAGATCATCCCTGCTTGGATCGACCACCGAAGGCTCGACCTCGCCACCGCCACTCCTCTGACGCTGAAACCCGATGTGGTGGTGTCCAAGAATGGAGATGGCAAATACAAGACTATTAACGAAGCCTTGAAGGACATTCCAAAGAACAACGAGGTGAAGGTCTTCGTGATTTATGTCAAGGAGGGAGTGTACGACGAGCATGTCTTTTTCAATAAGCACATGACCAACGTCATGCTTATCGGAGATGGCCCTACCAAGACCGTTATCACCGGTAGGAAGAACTACGCCGAGGGTACCCAAACTTATCAGACTGCCACAGTTGGTAAGTACAACGTTTTGACATATGCATGTTATATTGTTAGGATTTTAGAACTACGCCTAGTCTCACTCATTATGTACATTATTATGTTTTGCAGCTGTTGTTGGAGACTACTTCATTGCCAAGGACATCGGATTCGAGAACACAGCCGGAGCCATCGGACACCAAGCCGTGGCTCTGCGTGTGCAGTCAGACTTGTCCATTTTCTACAACTGCAACATGGACGGGTACCAAGACACCCTCTACACCCAAACCCACAGGCAATTCTACCGCGACTGCACCGTCAGTGGAACCATCGACTTCATCTTTGGGGACGCAGCCGCCGTCTTCCAAAACTGCAAGATGATCGTCAGGAAGCCATTGGAGAACCAGGCCTGCATGGTGACAGCCCACGGTAGACTCGACAGGCGCTCACCCTCAGCTCTCATCCTCCAAAACTGCACCATCTCCGGCGAGAGTGGCTACGACAAGGAACTCAACAAGGCCTACTTGGGCAGGCCATGGAAGAGCTACGCTAGGGCCATCGTCATGCAATCCCAGATCGATGACGTCATCACTTCCGAAGGGTGGATGGATTGGACCGGTGCCTCAAATCACAACACATGCTGGTTCGCTGAGTTCGGAAACAGGGGAGTTGGTGCAGAGCTGAGCAAGAGGGTTACATGGCGCGGGATGAAGAAGCTTACATCTGAGCACGCCGCCGATTTCACAGCTGGCAAGTTCATCTTCGGTGACAGATGGATTCTGCCCAGCGGTGTGCCTTACGTTGCTGGCATGATGACCGGAGTGTAGATAACGTCCCAAAATAAAAAACAAATATTGTACTATATATATGTATGTACTAAATCACTGTAATCTAAAAACCCAAAATTAAATTAAATATTGCGTATACCTTTTATTATTATTATTAGTGGCTTTTCGGTGAGTTCTTCTAGTCCCACTTTAATTTACATTGTCATCGAAAATCATGAAGTGGTACACAATTCTGTATAAAAATATGGTCGTAAGTCTAGCATTTTTCCTCTATACAAAGTTTTCTCTTTCAAACAACAAGCTCATTATAAAAGCCCCCCACAAAAACCCATCACTGATGATGATGTTGGATTTGTTAGGGTCTCTGCCTGGGTCACTCCAGAATTAATAGGAGTGGGAGGCCATGCTCTCACCTCATGATTTCTGATGGTGAGGCAAAATAAAATGGACCGGTTGAGATTGTTTTGACTATTTAATTGATAAAAAATTTGGATGAGTCTTTTCTTTTTTCCTTAATCATATTATGGATATGAATGGTAATTTTAATCGGTTTAAAATCTAATAACGAAGTTAGTGATTTGAAATTGACCATTACTTAACACAACTAAGAATATGACGTACGGATAATAAATATGTGATACAATACAAGAGAGTAATTCAATGATGAAGTTATAGATGGTATAATTAAGTTTTGGGAGCTTTAGTAATACACCCAAAATAGGAGCTGAAATTATTATAAATAAATAATAATAAAAAACCCTACATGAAATTCAATTTAGAAACATACCCAAAAACCATTTATTACATATGAAATGAGTGTTGAAGTTACCATAAATTACATCTCTGCTATTGATTAACTTAAAACAAGCCCAACACAAAAAAAAAACTCAAAAAAAACCCAAAACAAGCTCAGCAAGCCCGAAGTACATTGTTAATACCATGTCATAAAAGTGTAGTATTATTACCATGTCATAGAAGTACATTGTTAATACCATTCCATAGAAGTACATTGTTAATACCATTCCATAGAAAAACATTGTTAGTACCATTTCATAGAAGTACATTGTTTATACTATGTCATAGAACTATCTTGTTATTACTATGTCATAGAACCATCTTGCGTCCTTTCCAAAGGCATAAACTTTCCCAACATCACTTATCAGCATTGTCCTGCCAGCCCCAGCAATGAAGAATACTAGTAATAACAAGATACTCTACAAGATTAAAAATTAAAAATTAAAAATTAAAAATTAAAAATTAAAAATTAAAAATTAAAAATTAAAAAAAAAAAGAAAAAAAGAGTACACTGTTAATACTATGTCATAGAACCATCTTCCTAGCTAATAAAAATCACATTCTGCAAATCATAAACTTCAAGTGAATGGTATGGAGTTGTATACTTTTATCCTACCTATTATGCAAATGAAATGATGTAGTTGTTAACTTCTAAATAATCCTCGTGATACTAATGGCTTTCCAATTCGAGCATAGGGTGCCAACATGCCAACCAAAGCAACGTCAACAGCTATTCCAACCAAAAGATAAGCAGCGTACAACTCAAACTCAGCCCAGAAATCCTTTCCCCTTTTCTGAACTTCTGCAAATGTTGCACAACAAGAATCTATGACTATCTGCATTACAAAAGAGTCAAGGAAGAGAAATTTCTTCAGTATTCAACAAGATCAACAACTATCAAATATAATGGTCCAATTTAAAGGCAAGGTATATTTAATGGAATTTATAGGACTATGACCAATGCAAACAATGACCCACAAACTCAATTACTGATATTTATAGTGAAAAATGCAGAGCTACAATTCTTTCACAAGCACTAATGATTTACAATCCCTTGACTTCAAACACAAATTACTCAAAAACATTAGGGTAAATGGCCGAAAACCTCACTGGACTATTTCGACTGTCGAAATGTCCACCCTGGAAATTTTTTTCAGCCAATTTAGCCTTCGTATTAAATTTAATTGCCAATTTCACCCCTGCCGTTAGGTTTTCCCCAATTCCATCCAAATGCCCGTAAAAAAAAAACACTTCAGAGGCACGTGAGTCGTCTACTGAGGGTAATATCGTCCTTTCACACCTCAACTTCTTTCTATTTTGAGATCACAAACATACGAAAAATATAACAAAAGGTATGCATGACCCCAGGAAAGCAGATCTATAAAAGAAGATCTGTTTTAGAATTACCCAAATTTTCACCAAACCATTGTATGATTGTTAAGCTCATAATTTCATACATATACATGCCCTATTTACTTACTTCTTTTGCTTAGTTTCTTAAATTTCTAAGTTATTTGCCTCCCTTTGTGTGTTTTGTAGGCAAATAGAGCAAGAGAGCATAATTCATGCAATTCAAGCATGTTAAGGCCTAATTTGGATGAATGGA